GGGCCCGGCGGGTGGCGGGGGCTTCCCGGGCCTGAGAGGACCTGAGGGGAGTAGGAGGCTGAGAGGACCGGGAAGCTGAGGGGACCAGGAGGACTGAGGGGACCGGGGGGCTGAGGAGACCAGAGGGTTGAAGGGACCTGAGGGGACTGGGGGGCTGAGGGGGTGCCCAGCAGGATGGGACCTGAGGGGGACTTCCTGGGCTTGAGAGGTCTCCCAGGGCTGAGATGTCGCTGGGCTCAGGGGTGGGACCTGAGGGGGTCAGCCAGTGGGGGGGCTTCCCGGGATTGGGGGCAGGGGCTGAGGGGGTGTCAGAAGTGATGACCCGATGGAGATGAGGGTGCAAGGCGGGTGGGGAGACACTTCCCACAGGGAGACACGATCAGGTGGCTGGGAGAGCCTGGGCCCAAAGTGGGGGACCTGAGGGGGCACCGAGCTGGGGTAGGGGTGCCCAGTGGGGAGTGAGGAAGATTATGGGACCTGAGGGAACCTAAGGGGACACCAGGCAGGACTGGACTGAGGAGAACTGAGCAAGGAATTCCTGGGATGGGGAACCTGAGGGGGCACTAAGCCCAGTGAAGGGGCATCTGACAGAAAAATGAGAACTGGGGCCTAGGCCAGAAGTGGTGGGCACCAGTAAAGGGACTGGGCCTGGCTGGAGCAGGGGGAGGCTGAGCGGGTGCCCAATGTGGGGTGTGGTCGGGGCAGTCAGGGAGACAAGAAGGACTAGACCAGGGAAGGTGTGCTGGGTGCAGGGCTGGGGGACCCAGGGAGGGCCCCTGAGGAGAAATTGAGGAAGGCCCCATGCTGTTATAACCACTGTGGGGCTAAATAGGTCCTAATCACCCTTCCTAGGATCGTGGTAAAACATACCATTTGAAGAATTTCAGAAAAAGGTCCCTTAGGCAGGGAGTTCACCGACGGAGCGTTACTGGCCCAGCTGGCTGCCTGCCCTGTTGTTAGGAGCCTTAGAGTCCTTTCCAACTCATAGTGACCCCATGCACAGCAGAAGGAAACACTGCCTGATCCCACGCCAGCTCCATGATCCTTGCTACACTTGAGCCCATCATCGCAGCCACTGTGTCAATCCATCTCACCAGAGTTCATCAGACTGAAACCACAAAGAAGCGGTTCTCAAAATCCTAAAAGAACTGCACTAGAATCCCACATGTACTGAAACTAGCATTCAAGTGAGACAGCAAGATCAAGGTGTTTTCACAGACCTGCAGTATATATACGCAATGCACTGCCGTGGAGTCAGATCCAACTCATAGTGACCCCTCCTTGGGTTTCCGAGGCAGTATCGCTACGAAAGTAGATTGCCCAACCTTCCTTCTGAGGAGTGGCTGGTGGGTTTGAACCGCCAGCTTTCTGGTTAGCAGTCAAATGCCCTAGGCACTACGCCACCAGAGCTCCCTCACAGACCTGCAGACACCCCTATTTGCTTCCCACAGAGTCTCTTAAACAATTTCTAAAGCACATACCCTAGCAAAATGAAGAATAAGACATGGACGCCAGCAAGGAAACCAGTCCGGGCTGGTAACATGCCAAGAAGAAATGTCCAGACGGACACGGCACGGCACGCGGTGAGGGAGGCCTGCAGTGGGGTGAGAGCACACTAAGGTTTCTGTTTGCTTCAAGAAGTTTTCAAATTACTAGGTGGAAAAATATAGTTTAAAATTGTATATCAGAGTTTCAACTGGAAAAGTGGAAATCGGAT